TCGTTGCCCGATCCTTGCCGAAAATTTTCACCCAATCCGAAAGAAGGGGCCAATGTTTATAACGAAGTGCTTTCGCCTTTGGATGTGCCTAAAACAATGAAAACAAAGAAAACAATGTAAATGCTCATTTGAACTTAGTATTAAGTAATCACAAAATGAACTGTGTAAATCATACCATCATCCCTCACAGTAATCATGTTTTTGGTTTCACTCCATGCGAAGCCAGAAGTAGCAAGCATTTCCAAAAGCAAACCATAATTTTTTTTTTTTTTCCAAACTGTGATCTTGGATGATATGTGAGGTTCGACTCTTATGGTAGTTTCCGAGAAAATTTGTTGCATATGTTGTTCTAACATGATGGTGTAACCATTGCGAAATCCGTTGTTGCATTTCCAGCCGCGTGCAACAAGATCGCGCAAACATTCAGTCAAAACAAGCTCCTCATCTGCATTCTAAACTTGACGTTGTCTGGCAGCCTGAGAATTGCGTCGCCCATTGGCAGTTGATTCCATGAGTAACTAATCACCAAAGGCATTCACAAGAATTGTAAGCTTTTTGCCTTCAACAACCCAAAATAATACTATAGTATAAGCAACAAATCAGCAAACTTAGAAACATAAATAGGAATGTCTATTATTTTTTAGCAAACAAACAAGTAGAGAAACCAAAAGTAATACAAAACACACATTTCAAACAAGCATTCACATAAGGTTGCTTTAAACAGCAATGTCATATTTTTTTTAAGAAGAAAATACATTTAATCACTGGAATATTGCTTGCTCCATTCCAATACAATTAAACATTTTGAGAAAGGTTTAAATGTTAAAACATTTAAACTTTGTAGAAAAGTTGAATTCCTATTTTGAACATTGATTGCTTCATTCTTCAACTTCACCCATCCCATTCATTAAACATTGAGATAGTCAAAGCATCCCGCATATTTGTCCATTCGGTGGTTGGCTCAACAACGTCTACATAGTCAGGGGTCATGGGCCTCGGGGTTTGTCTGGGGATTCATGATATTTTTCCCCTCATTTTCTATTGGGTCCACATGCATGGTATCTCGGATGAAGTTTTAAAGAAGGAAAGATGCAAGCATAATATTATTTTGAGTGCCTATGTCGAAATAAGTCTTGCTCCTAAGGACTGCCCAACGCATCTTCAATACTCCAAAAGCACGCTCAATTACATTTCGCAATCTGGCATGTCTTAAGTTAAACAACTCTATGGTTTGTAAGCACTCGGTTACCTTCAACAAACTCATCCAAATGATACCGCACACCCCTATAAGGAGCCAAGAAACCCAGGCTATTAGTGTAGCCGCCATCGCAGAGGTAGTAGTTCCATGTGTATGTGAACTATATGTGAGATAGAGAAAAAGTAAAGTAAATATAATTACTTTAAAGAATTGTTATTAACAACAATATTGTAAAAGAAACAAATATTTTATGCATATTTATATTATTTTATGTAACACTAACCAGATGGTACACGAAAGCCCCCTTCTCTGTAAACGACTTCTCGTAGAAGAACCCTATTGTCAGCAGCAAAACCTTCGCAACCAGTCATTACATATGAAAAATTCATTTCTTGTGTGCACACACCAAGCACATCCAGAGAAATAAAACTTTTTCTGTTTCGATATCGTGGGTGTAGGCATCACAGGACACGCACGGGAATATAAGCCCTATCTAAGGCTCCTAAGCATCCCTATGATTTAATACAAAACAAGAAAAATTGTAAACTTTAGCTATGCTATTGAATATTGGTATAAAAAAATTGTGGTATTGTTGTCCTCACCTTAAACCATCTCCATCTCCGATCGGTGCATGACTCCGTTATAGCAGTACTTTGGACAGTGAGGATGGGGTGCAAATGCAAGACGACACGCAGTACATTGTGGAAGAATTTGCTAATTGTTTGACCGGATCTTTTAAAATCAAATTTCACTACACGATTTTTTTTTTTTTTTTTATGGTGAGCTAGCACACTAAGAAACAATGCTACTTGCTCAGTTATTTATATATTTCTAGTTTTCTGGAGCCCACCAATATGTTCCAACAAGTAGCACAACCGGGCAAAGCTATTTCGATCTATGCGAAGTTGTTCAATGCATGTCATGTCACTTATTTCTACTAACACTTTCATGTGTTCAATTTGAGAGGGTAGACGGTCTAACATACGATATGATGCATTTCGAGCCGACGTCTAACTCTACGATGTTGTCTAGGTTGAACAACCAACTTAATGTAAAGGTAGACAATGATAAAAATCAAATTACGTAGATTAATTATCTCTTCGACAAGCAACTGTACTACCGCCTCTTCAGAACCTATGTCCATGCTTAGGCTGATGAGATCAACAAAAAAATGTATTTCTCCATGTAAGATATGAAGTAAAATGCAAAGACTTTTTATACAATTGGATTTTAATAAAAAGAAAGGGAATCAAACTATTTGCTGAAAACTGTAATAAATATTATTGTTGTGTATCTTCTTATTTTTCATCAAATAACATATCTTGATTCGTTTTATCTTACAAAACCTTCAATTATTACTATACAAACAACAGTGCCCAATGTAAACACAACAACAGTTCAAACACCGACAACATATATATACAAAATTCGATTGTACAAATAAACCAAAGTCATCATTCAAACACACCCACATTGGTCTAATATCCAGGATTTAATTGGCAACTCATAAGGAAAAAAATAAATTGTCACTTATTTTACTTACTAGTGATGAAGCATGATGCCGATAACAGGAACCACAAATACTCCGTGCCTCGCAAAGCACCGAACCAAGCGCGTTCGTAATAAAACTACAGCCCATTAATTAAGAAATTAGGGTTTTATGAACCACCTATTGTCGAACACAAAGAGAAATAGTAGGCAAAAGACAAGTATTACAAAGTACATCACCCGTGTTCGTGTTAGAGGTATTGTAGAACAGAACACCTACCGTGAAGTAGCATAAGAGCATCCACAATGATTTGGGTCTCTTACAAAAATATCATATGCCATGTATGAAAGAGACCTAGTCTATTAAAAAATATTTTCCAATGCAATTAAAAGTAGACTAGGTCTAACTTATGTGGCAATCAAAAAATGAGACCAAGTCTGCACTTGGGTCTATTTTAGACCCAAATACAAACCTAAGCAATTAGCATTTATTCTTAACTTAATTTTTCTCTTAATATAAAAAATATTTTAGAGTATTATTATTGGTTGACAAATATTCTAGACCTAATATTTTGTTTTTGCACCGGATAACTTTTGGATTTTTTTCCTTGGGTTTGTCCATGTCATTAAGGACTTAAGTCCATTTATATGTCACATATGTAAAAATGAACCAAATGCATTGTAGATGCTCTAGAAAAGCAGTGAATTTCGGCACTTCAACACATCTCTGATCTTCTTCGACGGACTTCGGGCAAACAGGTCCTTACACTTGGCAAGTTGTAATTTTCTGGTCCGTGGAGGCTATTTTAGTACGAGTTGTAACATTTCAAGGTCAAAAAGGACTTTTAACAATATACATACGGTTGGGATTGATAATATCTCGTGTCTAAAACGGGATTAAATACCACCCCATACTAGGGTTGAGCATGAGATTCGGAGAATTCTGAACCGTTTCGAAAACCCAACTGAAATCATTCCGAACTGAAAAATAACCGTTGACCGTTTGACTTTCTCCGAATCGAACCGAACCGAAAAATAATTGGTACGGTTCTGGAGATTTCACAAATATTCGTACCGATAACCGAACCGAACCGTCCCATACCGTACCGAACCAAAGAACCGAAATTAAGAACCGAATTATAACATTAGATGTGTAATGTGTTATTAATATATTTTATGTCACCTTTGATCCTATATAATATAGTGATCATAACTATTAACCTTCATTTAACTTTCACGCTTAGTAATATTTGATCTACAATTGAATTTTTTCTATTATAAAATAATTATTTAAAATAATATGAAAGGTTAAAGAATATATTTTAGAAAAAAAAAATTATATTTTGTTTGAATTTAAATTTTCAATATTAGTTGCACAAATTGAGTCTTAACTAAAATTTAGAGTTACTTCTAAAGTTTTCAAAATAAAATTTTTAATATGAGGAAGTATTGATGAATGTTGGTTTTATTAAAGCAAATAAAAATTAAATAACTAAAAAGTGATTGTTTATAAATTGAATAGTAAAAAAACCAATTAAAACTCAAATTTAACTCAACTTTAACTTAACCCCACTATCTTCAAATTTATCAATATAATTAAATAATATCAATCAATCATTATTGCACATCACATCAACTTTAATTCACTATTCATCTACTCACATAACTCTAACTAACTATCCATTCCCATCATTTTTTCCTACTTTACATCAAATCAACTTTAATTATTTTATTTAAATTTTATTTTAATATATCCACTAACAACTAACCATACAACTTTTTTTTCAAAATTAACTATAGTTAAAAAACAACCAAATAAAAACCAAATCAGTCCATAAACAATCACACCCTTAGAGTTACTTCTAAAATTGATTTCAAAATAAAATCTTCAATATGATGAATTATTGAATAAATGTTGTTCTTTTAAAAAATATAAAAATTAATATATAACTAGGTAGTCATTCCAAAAAAATCTAAAAAATAAGAAATCGCCGAATATCCGAACCAAACCATACCGAACTGTACCGTCCCAATAGTCCCGAATACCGAACCGAACTGAAAAATAAAAATCTACGAACCGAACTGAACCGGCTTTTTGGTACTGTTCTGGAGATCAAATTTTGGGATCTCCGAACCGTATCGATCCACGTTCACCCCTACCCCATACCCATGATAAAGCTGTTTTAATCTCGGGCTCTGTCTAATCTTATGGCCAGAAACCTGGAAAACAAAACAATGGACTGGGCTATGATTAGGACGTTAATCCTATCTAATCCACCCTATCAAACACGGCCTCGAAAGATTGGGGCCAGGAATGAATTTGTGTAGAGATCAGGCATTGTCCTCCAAAAGCAATTTTGAAAACAAGAGCGCTTCTCAGCTCAATCCTCGGGCCAAAGTTGAGAAACACACAGCTCACGTCCCCAACTGCTGGATGGATGTCCCGAAAGACCAATTATCCACTCTTCTGGATCATGGCCTTTACGCTTCTGCCCAAATGCTGGTACACTTTTTGTTTATCTTCTTCTATTGATCCTGGTTTTGCTACTATCTCGTTAGTTGTTGTTTAACTTACATTTTCGTATAATTGTTTTGTTAATCAAGGGTTGTTTTGCTGTGACGTCCGCCTCGATAAATTCTGAGACTAGTCCTCATCTTAGAGCCGAAAGCTTGGTACTTTACGATTTGTTGTTGTTGTTGTTGTTGTTGTTGTTGTTGTTGTTGTAATGCTGTTGTATGGGTATTTTCTAAAACCCACATATGTTTCTGGAAATTTTCTGGTGACAGGTGCTGTATGGGGATTCACTCTTTCGAGGAAAGGAGTATCGAAGGGCAATCGTAAGCCTTTGCTGACACCGTTATGCCATTGCATACTTTTTTTGTGAATGACCCGATTATTTTTTAAAATATTGTCTAAAAAAATCAAATACCTGCTCGGGCGCTTCTTAAATGCATCAGTGATGCGTCCAATTGTTTTTACATAGTGCTGTTGTGCAGAAAGGTGCATTTGGATTCCCAAAGTTAGGGTCATATAGCCATGTAGCTCTTGCAAGAGTCCGGTCTGAGCTGTTGAGTCTTCAAAGATAGTTGTTAATGTTGGGCCTTTTGGAATTTGACAACCCACATTTGATATCGACTCTACCAGCTTCAGTACCATCTTTTCTGATGTCGACAAAATTGTAATATGGATTTGAGTTTGCAACTGATTCTCTTTTGCTCTTTTATTCCGTAAAATTTTCTGATGCATGCTAGAGTTAACTGGTGATGATTAGGCTATTTATTTTGTCTGCTCCTTTGTTTCTTATACTCTTCTGATTTTTTGCTTGAGGCAATTGGTTGTGATTAGGTTATTGATATATTTTTATATTCACTCTTCTCAAAGTTTGTCATCTTTTGGGCAGCAAATATATAAGCAAGCATTACAATATCACAAAATACTACCAAAACAGAATGCATCGACACCCCCGGCAACTAGGAGTGCCTTGTCAGCGTCAAGTAGATCTTCTTCTCCAAGTTCTTTCAACACTGTGGTGATAAATGAAAATGAGGTCTCACAATTCACACTTTAAATCTTTTGTAGATAATTCAGTATGCTAGTCTTCTCAATGGTATATATCTTAGCCTTTTTTATTTGAGTACAGGTTAAATTTAAGATTGCAACTTGTTACAGCTCACTTGGTGAGAACAGAGCTGCCCTTATTGAGGTTTGTACTTATATTTTTTTTTTTTTGGGTTACAAGTCAGTTTAAGTCGACATTGTTGATGTTTAATTCTATTGAATCATTTTGTTTTCTTTTCTTTTCTTGTGTTGCTGTTGTATTATGACTTCATCTGGCTCCAGTATTTATTGCAGCTTGAATATCATGCAATTATAGCCACAGTGATAAATGATCGATATGCAGAAAGTGTTGACAGTATATCCGGATGTGTTTAACAGATGGAGGGAATTCCAAGCAAGTCAAGGAATCTAGAAATGCATCTTGTGATGGCAAAGCTCTACCGAAATGCTAGACATAATCGAGCAGCAATTGCATGCTTTAGGGAGTGTTTAAAGTCTGGTTCCTTGATATTTGATGACTTTTATATATTCATGAGCATAGCTTCCTTAAATTTGTATTTTCTCTACCATTATTGTGTGTGTTTGTAACCAGTGGGTTTGCAGTGCTTTATGAACAAATGTTACTTGTAGAGATTTCTTCATAAATTACCCTTTGAAAATTGATGCTTTATTGATTTCTGTAGTTTCTTCTGTGTGTCCATATGCACAAGTACGTTTTGCATATAAATTGAAACTGAAGGATATTCTAGTTATTCTGCACTTTGTGTTTTGGATATTGCGATGACAGTTATCTCATTCCCCTTTTTTGTCGTGGTTACCAATGCCGTCTTAAGTATTTTGCTTGTTGTGTGCTATTTTCTTCTTGTATTCATGAAATTATTTGGAATTTATATTACAAAATATTATTGATTTCTCTATCCTTCATATGACAGGAATTGCCCGTACATTATGGAGGCTATCATTGCTTTGGCTGAATTGGGTGTTTCCGCAAAGGAAATTATATCATTGTTTCCTCAGGTAAAAATGATATTTTGATGTGCTACAATATCTAGTTCCTTTTTATTGTATAATTTTTAGTTTTCGCGCTTCATCTAGTTGAGAATGAGGGTATGCTGTTTCGAGTTCATTTTTAAGTGGGGATTGATGAAAGAGTGCAACATGGTTCACGTCTATTTCAAACTCCGTTTCTTGATTAAGAGTGCTACATGTATTTCTACATTATTGTTTAACAAATTACATATTCTAAGTAAGTAAGAATATTTCCTCCAATATTTTCTCTGTTCATTGCAGACTCCAAACAGAAGTGGAAGGTCTCCCTTTGATCATTTTGATTCAATTCGCTGGCTACAAGTAAGATTTCCTGACAGCAACAAGTAACTTTCACGTCTTGATTTCTACATTTATCATGTATTCATTTGAATTTCTAGTGTGAAGCTTTTTGCAAATTATTCTGTGAAAGTTACTGTATGTATTATTGATATCCCAAGAGTCAAATGTTACAACCTTGTACAAAACACACTACACATTTCTTACACACAAACAATACATATTCCACTACATACATCCCACATATACAGAATACACTGAATACACACTACATAGACATCGTATTTAACACACAAACACAAGCTAATACATTTCACACATTTTTATGAAGTTAGTTGTCATATGAGATTGGCATTTGGGAAAAACGTGGTGTGTATTTTTGTTTTGTATGAAGTATATGTTGTGTTATATGTGAAATGAGTACCGCTTGCGATCTATTTGAGTTGAATCTGTTGTGTGCGAAAGTGTAACGTCTTGTGTATTTTGTGTACAAAAAGTGCGGTGTGTGTTTATCTGCGTGAAACGTGGTGCATTTTCAGTGTGTGAAATTTTTTTTTTGTACGTGAAACATGTGATTTGTCTTTGAGTGTGTAAGTTGAGAATGCACCAGTCGCAGTTCATTTGGGTGTGTGGTTTGTGGATGTAATGTTTGGCGTTGTGTCTTCCAATGTGTGTAGTGTGTGTCTTGGTATGTTGTGTGTTTTGTGTGTAGTTTTGGCATGTGTGCATGTGAGATGCAAAACACATACACACACGCACACTATATTCTTGGTGCGCAGTTAAACAGCTTTAAATAAAATATATACAAAATATGGCTTTAAGATTATGACGCATACAAACCACACCCATGGACATAAACACTAGTGTGAAAACTGAAAAGCTCTTCTTAAAGCCGTGTTTCAATGCAAGTATAGCATGATTAAATTCTCTAAATTGGGATCTCATTTACTTACAGAAGAGCCTTTTTCTATTACTTGGCATTGAAACAACATATAATCACTCTGTGTTTGCATTTTACTAAAACACTGATAGTCATTTCATCTCTTCTTGCAACGCAGCGTTATGTCGAAGCTCACTGCTGTATTGCTTCGAATGATTATAAAGGTCAAGCTACGGCTACCGATACCTTTTATATTTTCATTTTTTCCTGACATGAAAAAATATGGTCCAGAATCTCCTCATTTATGCATGTGCCTATATGATAATTCATTCTTGGCAAGCTTTTCATCACAACAGGTCATACAATGGGGAACCCACTGTGGAAATTAATTGTAACTTCTGCAGTTGTCTCTTTAGCCATTTATTTAAGATAATACATGTTAATACTTGACTCATCGTCTATATCACGTGAAGAAGTTTAAGAACACATTTTTGCCTTATTCATTGGTATTGTGTTGTGTGTTCTGCTTAGCAGGTGGGTTGGAACTTTTCTCGGAACTTCTACAGCGATTTCCAAATAACACCCACATATTACTTGAAATGGCTAAGGTCTGTAGTTGCTGCATCGATATGAAACAGAATATTTTAATTGTGTTTGCAGCCTTGGCTTTTTCTTTATATAATTTCAGGCTTGGGGGTATAGTGTATCTTGCAATGATATGGTTTTCTGTCTTATAGACGTTCTTGACTGCTAAGTTTACTCCATGAGCCATTTGGAAGAGACTTGTAGATTTAATGTGTATGAGGACTGAGGTTCATTGATGTATGCAAGTTCTTGCTTTTATTATGACTCGGTCACTCAGACCAACCTGTATCTTGGAAAATTTCACTTAAACTCTTAATATAGTGAGAAAAATTATGCTGCTGGCTTTATCTTGACCAAAGAAAAGAAGGGAAAAGAAAAGCATCTCTCAACAGGAAACATATCTGTGATGAGATGAGATCTTATATATTTAACGTAGAATTTAAGCATACTGAAAAAATTGGCTCTTATTGATATTTGTGAAAGAAAAAGCAGTTTTCGTTTATCCCTATTCATTTTTATTTAATTGCTCTTTCTGAAGGTTAAAGCTGTCATTGGGAAAAATGATGAAGCCATTTTGGATTTTGAAAAGGTAAGTAGTTCACCCCTAGTTGTTCGAGTTTGTTCTATCGAGATTAGGATTACATTTAGGAAAATGGTTTCTTCAGGTTCGGTCGATCGATCCATATGTGGTTACGTATATGGATGAGTATGCACTGCTTCTGAAGATCAAATCCGATCATTCCAAGTTAAATAAGTTGGTTCATGATCTATTGAACATTGACCCCACAAAACCCGAAGTTTTCGTGGCTTTATCTGTTTTGTGGGAAAAGAAAGATGAGAGAGGAGCTTTAGCATATGCAGAGAAGGTCAGCATTTCTTGTATTTAGTTCAAGCTAATTGACTCTTAAGTGCTTGTATTGACTTTTTTCTGGTAAAATAATGACAGAGCATCCGTATTGATGAGAGGCATGTTGTTGGTTATATAATGAAGGTAGGTCATTCCTTCATTTACCATGTAAAATATCATATATTTGTCTATCATGTATTTTATAGTTCAAATTTGCCATCTTTAACTGCATGTTTTAGCATAATAAATTTTTGTTTGAATTGTCCATATATTTATATATATATATAAAATATTAGGGGAATCTTTATTTGGCGATGAATCGGCCAGAAGCTGCAGTGGTTGCGTTTAGGGGAGCTCAGGATTTGAGGCCCGATCTTCGTTCGTATCAAGGCACGTTAACGATACAATTGACAGACTTGTTAAACATAAAGGGCATATAAGGACTTAA